GGAGGCTCCCACATGAGTGGGGTGGGAAGGAAAAACCGAGGCAAGCCTTCCCCATAAAATCTGTGGAGAGGCTGCTTGAACCCACGACCACAGTGACTCAGTGAGACAGCTCTCACCACTGTATCAGGCCCGCCCTTCTTTTGTTATAATTACTTTCAGATGCAAAATTTCTCGTATTGTTCCTAATTAGGGCTGTATCGATCTCCGGTTCTGTGCTCTTAAATCAAAGGTTTATTTTAGCATTATAATAAACTTGGTGTTTTTTTTACACCAAGCAGACATATTTACATATTGTTTCAATATGCTTTGCATAGGAAAAATGTAATGATTTGAGTTTTATGGATGCCAACAACAAGTATTGTAAAATGCGAGAATATTGATCTGGATTGCTCAACAAGATTGATTATTAGATAAGACTGCAGGTTGGTCAATGTCAGTGGGAATGCTGCCTGCTGCATGGAAACAGGGGGCAAAACCAGGCTATTTTAGTGCTGTGACTGGGGACAGCAATGGATATTTTGATATCCCAGGCTAAAATGTTGTTGATCCAAAAAACAAGACCAATCATGATGCTTTTGAACAGTAGTGACATCTATGATTCTCTATCCTGGATCCGCTCATGTGGCAAGTCCGCAAGTGAAACGTAGATTGGGTTCGACCCTAGATATTTTTTTGCTGGATTGCTTGTTATTCTTAATGCTAGTGTTACTCTGGTTTTATGTACAGAGATGATGTGTGGATGAATTAGCATAGCTCGTACTCAGTTATGTTATATTAATCCATTCACATTGTTAATGACAATACCTTAAAATGTTGGCCAGCCTTGTCTCAGGAAATCAAGTTTTGACCCTCCAAAGTGTTAGCGTGCAGATCATACATTATCGCTAGAAATTCAATCAGTAACACATAAAATCCGGATACTTGTTATATTGGCCATTCTTCTAGAATAAATTGAATGGTACGTTATTCATTAATTCCTATTCCCTCTGTTCCAAATTATAAGTCGTTTTGGCTTTTCTAAATATATAGTTTTTGCTATGCACCTAGAACGCTATGTCTAGATAATAGCAAAGGCTATGTACCTAGAAAAAACAAAACGACTTATAATTTGAACGGAGAGAGTATATAGTATTTGAATGCCATCCTATCCTTGACTATTATTGTGTGATTGGGAAAAATATTTACTTGAAAATGGGGAATTCTCATATTACCATGATTAGCCACCTGGTGAGAAATTGCATCTGACTGCAGAACCATATTCGCAATTAGAGTTGTACTGATTGGTATTAGTCCTTTATGCTCTCAATATTTACTTCTACTTTTGAGGTATTCTCTTGTGGTCCTCTGTAAAAGCTGGATGGATTTTCTCAGGCGCATGGATGCTGTCCTGCTGATGGTGTATTACATTATAAGTTCTGTTATTGACTAGTGTCATCTGGCGGTTTTGCAGGAAAGAGGTGAGCTTTTGCCACCTGAGGATTCTTTAGATATATCTCGTAAAGTGAAAGAAATGTATTGCTATACTTGTTCAGACATTGTCAAGGTATTGACTTTTTATTATCCATTGGTCTTCAACTCTTCAGAACTAGTAAAATTGTTTAATGGGAGTTGAAGTCCCCCTAATGAAGTTAAACATGCTTGTAAAACTTGTTCCCTGTGTAAATACTACTTTTGACCTGGTTGGAGAATCTGTTTAATGTTATTTTATATTTGCTTGTGTTGCTTAACAATGACTGTAGATACCTTTTGGTCTTCAGCTTCTCAACATGTAGACTAATTTTATGCATTGTTTTCTTTTACAAATATATATGTGGCAAGTTTGATATAAGTAGTACTTCTAGCAAGAGGCCATACAGTAGGCATCTATGTTAAACAAACAGAAAGATTTAGATTCTTATGCATCTCCATTACAATTTCAGGAGTTCAAGAAGCATGACAAGAAGCCTGATAAGTACATCAAACATTGGACAGCTGTTAAACCAAAGACTGGGGTCCCATATACAATTGACATTGGATATGAACGCTTTCTTGGGCCAGAGGTTTATTCCTATTTCTGTCATCAAAACTGCAATAGTCTGTCATCAAAACTGCAATAGTTTTGTTGTTCCCAAACTATTCATCCAAAATGGTTTAATATTATGGCTAACAATCATCTTTTGAGTGTCAATTACACAGTGTTGCAGTGATGAATTTATTATGGCTTTTGATCTTACATTACTCTGATAATTCATATATTGTAAATACATTGAAAGCTAAGAAATTTAGCTCATTGTTGCTGTAAATTAAGAGATAAGATTCATACAAGATATCCGGGATTCTTGTGAGCATTTCTTTCTGTTAATTGTGTAGTAAAGGAACTGGTTAGCAATGTGAATGTACAGACTTCACTGCATGGCCATTTCACACTGTACTTATTCTTGTCCTGTGGCTATATCAATGGAGTTCATGGGAACACGGATCAAGGATTGCCAATCTGCCGTTCATATGATTGCAGCACTATTTGTTTCTATGAACTGTAGTTATTTACATTGTCATACTGAACTAAAGCTTCATATTAGAATGTAACATTTATGACCAACTTGAAGAATGAGGTCACATCAATGAATGGATTTGTAGATGTAGAGTTGTGGATGACAGTCTTGCATACTTATAGAAGCATCTTTTGGCATATAGATTTGCTACTATTTAGGAACTGAGATCATGGTTTCCTTGGTTCATCCACAAATGAAATACTTGCCAATTGCTATTATTCTCTGGAACTCTCTTAACCTTTGGCACTATCTTGGTTCATTACCTCCTTGTAGTTACTATATAAACATCGGTCTCTACCTCCAATGGAATACTACCATGTGCATAATTTTTACACTGTCAAGTGATATCGATAAGCTTTTGTAGTAGTTCAGAATTGTTCCCATTACATCATGGGTATGAAATTGGCACTAAAAAATGGGTGTTATCAAATATATCTTGAAAAGGTTATTAGGTGCTAGAAATTCTAAGCGCGTTTTGCCTTGAGCTTAATTTTGTTGGTATTTAACCTTTTTGTTAGAATAAACTTTTAACTTTGTACAGTTGGTCATGATTTTTTAAAGTTGGAATTAAGTGTGCATCTCTAACCATCTACCAACAAATGCAGATCTTCTTCAATCCTGAGATTTACTCTGCTGATTTCTCCACTCCTTTACCTGAGTTGATTGATAACTGTGTTCAGTCTGCACCAATTGACACAAGGAGAGCTCTGTACAAGGTGCTTTCTTCAAACCCTGCATGGATATCTAAGATGGGAAGTGATATATGTGAATGCTGTGACATTTATCATAATTTTTTTTTTTTTTGTAGAATATAGTATTATCTGGTGGATCTACCATGTCTAAAGACTTCCACAAGAGACTCCAAAATGATATAAAGAAGATAGTGGATGAGCGTGTTGCTGCGACTAATGCCCGTCATCGTGTGGAAGTGAAAGTAAGTACAGATGATTGATTCGCAGTCGCCATTTAATATACTGTTGTAGTCGATAGGCTACATGTGAATAATGTTATGTGCTTTGTACTGCCATTTAATTTTACCTTTTCCCTGTTGTCAGCCTATTGAAGTCAACGTGGTTGCTCATCCAATACAGAGTTACGCAGTTTGGTTCGGGGGGTCAGTAGCTGCATCTAACCCTGAATTCTTTGAGGTACCTGCCACTTGACATTCTAGGGGCCTCAATAAACTGGCAATCTTCAGTAATCATGCCTGTATTTCTGCTATCTGATATAAACTTATAATGCCACTAAAATGTGGTGAATTGCAATGCGTGAGTTCATAACGCTATAAAGCAGTGTTATAACTGAGTTATGAACATGGTTATGAATACAATTATTCCTCGTGAATTCATTTTGTGCGAATGAAATCTAAGTGATTTCCTTTTTCTCATGCAGTTTTGCCACACAAAGGAGGAATACGAGGAACATGGAGCCAGCATCTGCAGAACAAGCCCAGTTTTCAAAGGAATGTACTGAATTTTCCTCACAACCCATCCTCTAGTAGGAGAGCTCATTTAGGTTTCTTGATAGAATATAGTCAATTTTGATTCTTTTTTGGTCCGTCCCAACCATTGTCGGGCCACCATGACTAGATTTGTAGCTCTGTCTGTACTAGTTGTTTGTTCTGTGTTCTGTGTTCTGTGTTCTGCGTCGATTGTTGTGTATAGCCATCAGCTTGGTTCCTGTTCGAGGTGCTTGATTGTAGCCATAACCTTGGACTGTTTAGAGGAAAAATATTGGTTATTCTTTTACATTAGCTTCTTCAGACAGATTTACATAAGAGGGTACTCTTATTAATAAGAAGTCAGGCTAAATTTAGGACTCTGTTCGACAATACTGTGTGTGGACTAAAGAAATTTGTCGTGGATGATCTTGAACAGAAGCAGAGCACCTTATTTCAATTAAATAATATGGTATCCCTACTTTCAACAATTCATCTTGTCAATCATTTTTTTAGTGAGTGCAGAGAGAGGGTGTCGTAAAGAGTGCCAAATGATCGCATGTCACATTTCGTCAGGGTTGTATATATACATTTATTAAATGACCGTTCCATGACTTAAAGAAGGTAGAAAAATATACTTTTTATATCATATTCGTTTATAGTATATTAGTACATATACATTGCGTATTATATTATTATTATATACACGGCATAAAGAATGGAAGCCCCGGATCACTTACCCGCCCAAAACTGTACACGTCACGACCCTAACCCTCAGCCAGCCTTCAGCCTGCACTCCTGCAGCACGCTGAATGCCTGGATTTTCTTTGAAAGTCTGAATGCCTGGATTGGCAGCGCATATGATTTGCGCTTTCTGGACCAAGACCAAATCTGCCACCATTCCTACCGGTTTCTCTCACTCTGGCGTGCAAACCCCGGCAACCTGTCATCAAATCCCATCTCCTAACCGATCCTGAACCTGAACCTGAATGCTTCAATCTGTACAACGCAGATTCGCAACATTGTCATAATCACGGGAACCCGATGTAGCTGTGTACCAGTGTCTTGGCCGGGATCACAACGGTCTTGCTAAGCACGAAGAGCACAAGAGTTAACTCGAGCATCAGGATGGTGTTTAGGAATGCTCGGTCGACGATCCAGCCAAATATCGTGATGCCGCCTGGGTTGGCCAGCAGGTACAACACTGAAAATCATGCAGAGGAGAAGCAGAGCATAAGCACTGAAACGATGTGAATATTGTGGTCTTGTGAAGCATGATCTTCAAACTATCACATTGGATGGTTGAAGATTAAGCACTGGACAATCAACGCCAGTTTTGTGTATTACTTACCAAGTGATTCCCTCTTGTGGTATGAAGACATGTACGAAGCCAACTGAGCTGTGCCGTGAGAACTGCCATGAAGCGACCCACTGTCCAGGGACTCCAGATCACTTTCCGAGAAATCTCTCAGAAACAGATGCGCAGGAAAGGGCACAAGGTTCCCAGAACTGTTTGGGGTGTTCACGTAAGTGGAATCGGTAGAGCATGTTGCTAACGCATGCCATCGACTAGCCAATGAAGCAATGTTTTGAGCTCTGTGGGAGATCTTAGCAGCAGCGTGCAAACAGAGGACAAGACCGACAACTTGAACAACTGAAGACACCTGCAGTATAAGAGGAAAAGGAAATGTGCTCGTGACTCGATTTCGCACCACATTATGCAGAAGGATAAGATAATGTAAAAGCATGAGGTACTCACAGCAATGTCACCTCCATTGGTGAAATTGATTGGCCCGCTGTAAGCTGTCGTCTTGAGAAGAATGGCAAACTGGCTTGCTGTAACAGAAAGGAAGAGCAGCAAGAGGAACATGCGGAACCTGTGACTGATTTTGGAGAGATTGTGGCGGAGCTGCAGGTGCTCTTTCAAATAGACCAGAGGATCCGCGTCTTGCTCCAGAAGCTTGCCATAGTCATCGAAGTGGATAACTTGCAGATTGCAGACCAAGTTGAAGAGCATGCAGGACGACAATATGATTGTTGTCAAATACATCCATGACATGATGGAAGCAAAAAATACAACGCAGGCTCTCCAAATTGACTCCTGGAAGATGTGGGAGAAGCGGAAGAATTCCCGGGTGACCTTCACAACAAAGCATGGCACTATCCACCATGTAAGAGTGCGGAAGAAGTCCTGTGTCAAGGGGTTGCAACACTTGTTAACATAAAATTAGATACACCAAAAGGTCTTAGCATGATGCAAGATTAATGGATGATATGATAGATGCTATATTAAACATGAAGTTTTCCAATTTAAAATTTTGGATTAATTTCCACTAGAATTCTCAAGGTAAATCTAGGGAGGGCAAGAGCCGTTCTTCAGTCAGACCACTTCAATAGGAAATGGAAATGTGTACTTCATTTAACAAAAAAAAAATCATAATGGTAATAATAAAGCAAAGGAAATACTACACTTCCTGTTCCATATCCCAAATCCTTGACCCGCCCCTAACATGCATTTCCGTGTATAAACAGTAAAGAAAGACAAATAGACATGTCGGCAGACACAAACTGAGTATCACACGCACAAGAGCTCCACTCACATGGTAAGATAAAGGAGGCACATGTAGATCACATACGTAACTGAAAGAATAAGCCACATCGATTCGTCCTTCAGTAAGGACAAAGCGAAGCATCCAAGTCGGCAGAGATTAAACAAGGAATTTTAGGATTTGTAGCTCCATTCGTTATGGTAACATGACTAGACATCTATCATCTCACAGACATGTATGCCCCCCTGGCTCCACATGTCAATGTACCATGGAACAGAAAATTCAGAAGTGCCAAACAACGATCTAGACATGAGGTTTCAGTAGAAGCCGCTAGAGACTGCAACACGCAAGCATCCAAATAAATATTATAAGCACAAAATGACAATCAGAGCCTTAATATTCTCCAAGTCTCCTAGTAACACCCAAATGGCACCTGAATTCAACAATTCCTCCTTGAGGTGCATAAAGTTGGACCAAATTTGGCCAAAAAAATGGGACAAATTTACACCTAATTATCCACTAGTGGAGGCAGCAGTAAGTGGAAGTATCAGACGTGACACGAGTAGTGACCATTTATAGCAACTGTTCTCACTATCGGATTTGGACACTACTTGTAGCATTCGATTTTAACTGCTTCCCGTATTAATACAAATTCAAATAAATCCGAAGCAGGGAATGGATAGCGAGGAATAATCCCGACGAGATCGCGCGGGCAACACGACATCAGCTCACCTGGATCTTGGCGACGTACTCCTTCTGGAATCGGATCCTCATGCCGAGGTCCGGGTCGACGAAGAGGAACTTGCGGAGGCCGTACATGGCCAAGGGGGGCCTCCATGCCCCCCCACCCCACCCACCCCACCCCACCCCACCAATGTTTCTTGCCATATATATACCTATTAATATCTTCTGGATAATATAATTATACAAAACACAATTAGATAATAAAATTATCGTAATAAAAAAGACTGAGCCGACACCTAAATATAATTCTCGGATGTACCGGCCCACGAAGTATAAATGTTGGCTCCGCGTGGTTCGGGGTCGGGGTCTCGGCCGGTGGCCGCGACGGCGACGGCGACGGCGACGGCGGCGGACGAGGCGGACCGACGAGGCCGTCGCCGGTGGAGGCCATGCGGGCCGCGGGCGGGAAGGAAGGAAAAGGAACTGGCCTCGCCGGAGGGTCAGGTCAGAGCTGTAAAAGGCCGGCGGTTGAGGGGTCGACTGGTCCAGTCGGAACGAGGAGGAAGTGGACCGGCCTTTTAAGGCTCGCGCTCGGGGGGCCCACGGAGACCTTGTCCCACGAGCCAGTGGGCCCCGCGGTGGAGTGCCAGGTGGGTTCGAGTCGAGGGAGGGATTTGTGCTTTGCTTGGGCTCCGGGGGCTCTCCCGAGACGGCGTGGGGAGGGAAGGACACGTGGCGTGAGGGAGAGGGATGATGCCAGAAGGATCCCGCGTGGTTGGCTGAGGTGTGCGCAGCTGCCCGAGGATAGGTGCAAAGCCAGTGAAAGCAATTTTCGGTCCACTTGAAAACAAAGCCAGTGAAAGGATATCCAGTGATGCTTAGCGCGTGTTTAGTTTCCACCCTAAATTTTTTTTTAAAAAAAATGCTACAGTAGCCATCACATCGAATCTTACGATACTTGGATGAAGCATTAAATATAGACGAAAAAAAAACTAATTGCACAGTTGGAAATTACGAGATGAACGTTTTGAGCCTAATTAGTTCATAATTGAACACTAATTACCAAATAAAAATGAAAGTGCTACAGTAGCCCAAATTCTAAATTTCAGGCAACTAAACACGCGCTTACATTGATGCACACTCTATAGCAACAACTAGTATGTACGTACATTGATTGATAAAGACATTATATAGATCTTTCATAGTTTTTATCTACCGTGAAAAGCTATTTTATCAAACGTTTTACTAGAAAGTGAAACCCTGTACGGCTGACTGAAAAAACGGCTGATGCTGATGTTGATGCTGATGCTGATATTGATTTGTTGTGAAAGAAAATAATGTTATTTTGCTGAAAATGTATGGCTAATAAGTTTAAGCGAACAGGGCTAATTAATCTCTACGAGTAGAGTTTGCTCGCGGAGCTAAAGTAAAACTAATTCACCATTGAAGCAGAGCTAGATCAAACGGGCTTTAACACATGCTATGCCACAAGTTGGTATTATTGCTATTTGTTATGCGTTATAAAATGGTACTATTGCTATTTGTTATGTGTTATTTACAAGGACACGTGTGATTGTCACCATGGCTTACAATAGAGCGCAATCTTTGTGCCTACTATAGCATCACGAAGAAGCCACAAGCAACATCCGAATCAGAGAGCACGAAGCCTATGTTCAGCTGGCATGCATCCGGAGTGCTCTGCTGGAGTCTGGAGAGTATGGCCATTTCTCTAACCACTTGTTATGTCCGTATCCAAGTCATCGTTCATTCTTGCGTGTGTGTGTGTAGGTGCCCCAGTCAAAGCTGATGAAACACACAACGGAACAGAATTAGCACGTCAACATCCAACACACGTTTGATTGTGTTTGTCATGTCTCAAGCCCCTCCCTAAACATTACTCAATCGATCGTCGCTGCACATATAAACAGGGGTACATATATTGTCGAAAAAAAGCAGAGGTGGATATAGAGCACCGGGCAAGGTGGGCTCGAACCCTAGTTATCACTATTCGAAACATGGACCCTCTCCTAGTCTCCTAAACCCTAACCCTCCCTATAAATTAGGTGCCTATGAAAATTTGGACCGATAGGCTACAGATGAATTAATAGAAGTCTTTTCGCGAGCCCCACTGCGTGGGCCCTCACACCTACGCTCAGTGTGGGGGTATTAACCCCTATACCCTTATGGCTAAGCTTGGGCCGGCCCGGATCGATGGGTTCGGTCCACCAAAAGACGACGTGCGGCCCGGTTAACCTGATCGGAGTCCCGCGTAAGGAGTCAAGGCGGATTTGGCGATCAATCAAGATCCTGGTCGGTTAGAATAGGAATCCTTATCCGGCCACATATGGCAATTGTAACTGGCTAGGATTAGTTTCCAGATCTGTAACCCTGCCCCCCGAGCTATATAAGGCGGGCAGGGGACCCCTCTAAAAATCATCTCTCATTGACATACAACAATACAAATCAGACGCAGGACGTAGGTATTACGCCTTCTTGGCGGCCGAACCTGGATAAAACCTTGTGTCAGTCTTGCGTCACCGTCTTGTTTGTGGCTTGCGCATCTGTCTGCCGACAATCTACTACCTTGGGTATACCCCTAGGTAGACTGCCGACCATATTTCGTCGACACTCAGTTTCTCACGCGCCGGTCTATGCCCGCTCGTATAGCAACAGGTCCACGCCGCCCGGACGTCACCCAACAGCTGCTGCAGGTGGGTCCCATTGCAATATGTGCAATACCAGATCTATTTTTGCAACATCCAGATAAACACTTGCAACATATGCCTGAAACACTTGCGAAACACCTAGAAAACACTTGAAAGCCATTGCAAACATATGCAACGTCCAGATAAAACACTTGCAACATAGGTATGAAACACCTGAAACACTTGAAACATACACTTGCAACATGCATGTATATGCAACATCCAGGTCTACTTTTGCAACATCCATATGAAACACTTGCAACATACATCTGAGACAGATGAAACATTTGGAACATATACTTGAAACGTATGCCTGAAATAGATGAAACATTTTGAAAAAACACTTGCAACATGCGTGTATAGCCATTGCAACATGTGCAACATCCCGATCTACTTTTCCAACATCGATATAAAACACTTGAAACATATGTTTGCAACATGCTCTTTCAACACAAACATCTCCTTGCTGCTTCGGCAAATGGAGGCTCGTAGGCGCGTGGAGATCACCGGTGTGCTCGCTGGTGGCGTGGAGCTCGCGCGGCAACACGGAGCTGGGTGGCGGCGCACAGAGGGCGGGGTGCGGGCGGCACGGGCGGCGGTGGCGCAGAGGGCGGGTGGGTGGCACGTGAAGGTCACCGGTGTGCTAGCTCGGCGGCGGGCGGAGTTCGCCGGCAATGAGGAGCTAGGCGGCGGCACACAGAGAGCGGGGTGGGGGCGTCATGGGCAGCAGTGGCGCAGAGCCCGGGCGGGCGGGCGCGGCAAGGGTGGCGCAGAGGGTGGGTGAAGCGGCCGGATGATCGGACACCGTAACCCAACATTTCTGATAAATATAATAATGTCGTCAACACAAAAATAGGGCAGCGCCCATGCACCCGTTTACTCATCCAAAACGGCTCACCGCACACGGGCGGCAAACGGTGTGGCCGCCCGGTGTTGCATGCTCGTCGCCGCCGATCGACAGCGACCAAATTAAATGTAGTAGCCTGCAGTTGAGGGAAACATTCATTAATTATTAGGCTCTTGCCGGTGTGCAATGCATGCACGATACCACACATGATTACGATGTTTGCTTATGGTTTAATTTGCCAGGCATCAAGCCTGGATACGGAGAGTATTCAAACAAAAAAGAAATGCACGTACGTACGCATGTACACGAAAAAGTAGTTTCTAAAAGGAAAATGAGCTATATGGCGCTGTCGCACCAGAGAACAGCGACCTTTCTAAAAGGCGTGCACTGCATTTGCGGTGGGAGTTGGTGACCGTGCAGCTTGCCTGACCGCAACAGCGACGGCTCATCGCCGGCCAGCGGGCTGGTCGTCCGTCCGCCACCGCCTGTTCAACAACTAAACGGTGGTGCCGAAAGCTCGTTCAGATTCACTACTTAATTAAAGAAGACGATGAGCTGAGGCTAGGCTCACGTGATTAGTCGGTGTTAAACGTGACAGCCCCCTGTGAACGCCGGCAATGTTTACATGTGAGAAATAGGGGGAGATTTTACGAGCTATATGAGTCGCCATCATCCGGAGTGTGTGTCCTCTCTCCCCAACAGCTAAAGCTGGGCTGGATCTGCATCATGAGATGAAAAAAAAGCTATAAGAATTATTTATCGCTGTTATTGCGGATATGATGATTATTCTCTAGCAGGGCAAGCTAATTCTTCATCATGAAAACATCAGCTCTATCTTTTTCGCACGCAAAAGATGTACTCCTATATGAGAAGAGAAAAAAAAATCCAAATAATTGATAGTACTTCAATGCAATTATATTTGGGGAAGAATATTTCTGTCCATAATGAATTCAGAAAAATGTACATTCTTTTTTTTTGTCATGCATGGTCAGTGATGACACAACAAAACTGTACAAACATATGTCTAACGAACCCAGCTGTAACGGAGGATATATAAATAAATAAATAAATATTATCTGATATTGAACCTGATTTTGCGATTGCAAATATTAAAAACCTAAAAAGGAGAGGTCTTTGCTGAGACATCCACCAGTGTACAAGGCATCAAGAATTTTGCTTGAGGCACGTTCAGGTCAATTTGTGAGAATAACAAATTCAAAGCTAAATAGAAAAAAAAAAGAAGGCAAAGGGAAAATCAAAAGCCCGAAATAATTCCATACTCTCTGCAACAGCTAGGGAACGGAAGGAATACATGCGCAAATAGTGGTTCTCCTTTATTCCACAGCTTTGCACTGAACATTTCAAACCAGAATAATCTTTTCCACAAAGGTCGATAGTTGCTTACATCTATCCATTGGAGGGCAAGATTACTTTAGGCCGTGTTTAGTTCGCGAAATGAAAATTTTTAGATGTCATATCGAATGTTTTGAGGATGTCGGAAGGGGTTTTCAGATACTAATAAAAAAAACTAATTACATAGCTCGCCTGGAAACTGCGAGACGAATTTATTAAGCCTAATTAAC